TTATTTCAAGTAGAAGGGGTGTTTCCTTCCCAGCAGGGGATGAATGACACCGTCGAAAAATCACTCGGCGAATATCCACCTAACTGTAACGGCTTCCGCCGTCAAGCGAAGAAACAATAATCCTACTCCCGGCCAGTGATCCAGAAACACGGAGGGAAGGAAAAACCAACAAGGAACTACGGACTGAGACGTCACCTTTGGCACGAGACACAGACTCGCCTTCTCATCACCAAGGCTTGTTTACGGAAGTAACTGGTTCCGAAAAGAGGGGCAAAGCGTTAATGCACGTGCGGAGATAGCGACACTCTCTTTGCAATTTGCATTCCATGCACCTGGCAGAAACCCAGTCAAGTAAACTTGAGATAATGCTCCCAGAGTGGCGAGGACTTGAACCTGCTTTCAGCTGCTGAAAGCGAAAAATTGTCATTCTCCCTGAGGCCCATAGAGCAAGGCAAAACGCGTCTCAATAGAGCAGCTTGTTTACGTTGGTGCAAAACCTGAGCTAGCCGAAGCAATATAATTCTCTTTACGTTAGATATTACCTGTAGGGACAAAAGGGAGCTACGCGCATGAACAATTTCCAACAAATGGCAACGTGAGACGAAGAAAATCCCAGCACTCTTCATTGTTGACTCTCCGGAGAAAGGCGTACCCGCGATGATGGATCCACAAACGAAGAAGAGAAGTTTCGTGTTACAGCTCTTCTGTCAAGTAGTAACACCTGTGAACAACCGTGTCCTTGAGTCTCAAGGCCAACTAATTCCTGAAATGTTCTGCGAACTCAATTGCGCACGTCCCCACTTTCGCGAATTCGCGAAGTCGAGGAATCCACTTTCCTGGAAAACACACCGTGGCGCGAGAGCGGTTTTCCTGGCAACGATGGCTCGTATTCACTTCTGGAGACCATATGCAACTCCCGAACCCAGGTTCCTCGCGAGGCATGCCATCAAGCGAGACCGGTGCTCGAACAAAAGACAATGACGACATCGGAGGCAGTTATGGATGAGACGAGGTTCCCATCTAAGACGGGGGGCATTCCCGACATCCGTACCCCCCCGACCCTCATGCCCAGATGGGCACTTCCCATGCATTCATCACGGGCGGAAGGGCCCCTCGCATGAAACGACTGAAAATTCTTCCAAGAGGTAAAGGAAAAAGACTCATCCTACCCCATTGGCAAGAACCACATGATTGCAGCCTTCCGTGTTTCTATTCGATGGATGTGGGGCAACGGGGAAAAAATCAATGAAGGGGGAATAGCATTTCCGACGGAAAGGATCCGGTCTTTACCTGACCGTGAATCCCCCGAGGAGCCTAATTGATGTCCCATCGATTTCCCCGAAATCTCTGGTCTACGTACCCGCTGCAACTGCGAGAAAGCACAGTCTTTTAAGAGCTGAGATTCTCGGATTCCCGCCTCCGCGAATCGGCCACGACGGAAAACGCCTCTCGGGGTAGAAACGGGAAATTGATAACATGACGAAAGAGGAGCAGATAATAAGCATACGACATGAGAAAACGCAGGAGTGTGACCCCAACTTTCACCGTTTCCTCGGTTACAACCTTGCCCTGGTGTAACACACACGTTAGATGATATTATCACGGCAGACCTCGACATACCTTCGGAGTTTCACAACCCATTATTACAAACGAGGACCCGACGGCGATTTTCGGAAAAGGCACGCACCCCCACATGCAAGGCACACCTGTACCTCTCTCGACCGCGACTCGATGAACCCAGTTTACGACGTTTTCCGTTCGAATCGGCGAAACGCAATCGGAAGGGTGTCCCACTCACCGACGGTGCCACCGGGCCCCCAGGCCCCCCCGTTCATGAACATGCAGCTCGTCATGATGAACAAGGCTCGAGAAGACGGTCACACGCGCATGCACGATCCACCCGCACCGAGGACAGCAATCTCTTCGTTCGCACGGCCAGACGCGTTTCGCGACAACGTATTTACATGACAAGACGTCCCAAGCGACGCACGTGGCAAGCTCAGCGGAGCGCCAGAGAAGAGAGATGCGTGCACCTCCACAGCCACAGCGAGACTGGCGCGCCTAGGCCTCGCCCTGCATCCCCGCACAGCTGGGCGTCAGCATCCCCATCCCATTTCCCCACCTTCTCCTTATCAACCACTCGATCGAGCGCTATCGCCAGCTGTTGCCCTTTACACCGGGCAACATCGCGGTGATACCTCCCATTCGAACGACGGAAAACGTGACCTCATGGTTAATCATAACCGATGATGAGCTGATCGAAAAAACCCCAAGTACATCAGCATGACGTCATCCGTCGGAAGCGATGCTGGGCCTGAGTCAGACACGAAGAAACGGTTGAGAGCAACTGAAAGCCCCTTGCCGATCCATGAAGAATCCCTATGAGTCAAGAAATGTCGACTACCGTGACTTCCCAGAAAACTGAAGAAAAAAAACGCACAGCATACTAGAGCCGGAAGAAGCAAAAGAAAAGCCGGCTCTCCAGGCACAAAAGTGGGCATGAAAAGATCCACTCGGATGTAATCATTATGCATTGCGTCAAAATCGGTAAGTCTCATTTTACGAGGGAATAATCCCCCCGCCAACGACGTCATGATGACCCCACTTCCGACGCCCATTTCCGCTCCTTCGCTAAAAGAGTGCCTTTCCCATCCAATCTGACGGCAGTTGCCTTCCACCCTCCCATTCCCAGCCTCATTGATGAGTTGGTCTATATGGACCATTTCCTCCACATAAACAAGCTTATTTTCTTTCTCCAGACAACGCATTAAGAACATAACTTCTCCTAATAACAGTAGTGCGAAGTAAGCAATCGATCATTTCTTCTCATAAGAGTCAATATTTACAGACAACTTTGCGGATGGCCCCATCGACCGAGACATCGAGGGCTTCTGCCGCGTTTCGGGGAACGAAATAAAAAGCCACAACCGGGACGAGCGATGGTTCTGCATGACGTCTGGGAATGACCCGGAGGCAGCCAGATCGAGACAAATAAGACAGAGCATTCCCCCCAAGATTCAGACGACGGTGCCATCCCTGCATATGCATGACTTCGGGGGGGGAAGGCGCGTCCACGCCCCGTGTGGCTTCGCGAGAGACGGGCACGGCGGGCACCGGACCGAAGCCGGCACCGACACAGCCTCCACCGACTCCTACGCCTCGTATAATCACTCTCTATGCCATTTCCCCCTTTTTTTCTCACATTCGTTTCCAGGGGCCTATTTCACCCATCACTGCACCCCCGAGACAAGGAGACAAGGGGAGAAGAGACATTCACTCTCGCGGCATATGTCATCTATAAATACCGAGTGATGACCGTTCGACCGAAGATGCGACGTCTCGTATTCTAAAAACTTATTCGAGACGGCAAAAAAGCCTCAAGGCGGAAGGACGCAATGAAAAACCTCCGGTCGCGGAGCTGCTGACAATCGCAAAAATACATATAAAATAAATCACTCGACAAACACCAGCTTAAAAGTCAGACGCCACGAACGTGACGCGAAAATGAAAGACGGAACAAAATAAGACGGGTCGTTTAGCCCGACACGGGAGCAGCGGAGCCGAAAAAAAAGTCATGCTTTCGCCCATTTCTTTTCCCTCGGAACACCATGACATCTTTAGATGCACAACTGCGAACCCGTTTGCGTGGAACCGCAACGAAGACAAGTGCGTCATCGCGTGCCGCATTTCCATGTGTCACGGCGTCCCGCTCCTTGCTCCTCGCCCGAGATGCTGCCGACGTGCAGACGATTCCGCTAAGTAATGAGCATCAGACGAGGAAGGCATAAATCCCATGCAGGGGGCGATTAACACTTCATTCATACTTCGAGGACCCCATCATCTCCGCGTCAGGACGATCACGGGTCGCGTTTTACTGCCGTAAATTCTGGCCCATTCCCACCGGCGAAAAATAAAAAAGATGTAATTTGTTCCGAAGTAATTTGTGCCCCAAAAGCGAGGAAGCGAAAGAAGGGATGACCGCCGAGGCCGATGACACGAAGGGGAGGGAAAAACCGGTTGGAGTTTAATCGTCGGCCCATCTTGCAGATCACCAACTATCTCAAACCAGATATCAGAAGCCGAAAACGCCCCGTTTCGTACGAAAACGCGTCATGCATAGAATCACGTCCACGCATAATTAAAACACGAACAAAGATGAGCCATCCGCGAAATACAGCTACGACGTTTCGAACGCCTCGCTGCCTCCCTTCATCCGGCACGGAATGGAAGGAAACCCGTGGATGTACGTGTTCCTCGCCTCTCCCGAAATTCGCCAGATGCGGTCACGATTCTCGATAAAGCGATAACCTCTTTTCCAACCGCGTTGATGATGACACATTAGGACGGAGGGGAAAGAGGAAGGAAATGCTGGGAAAAGGGGGGAGGAAAGATGATGACGGATGAGACACCTCTTATCGCCACCTATGTGCTACGAAGCAATTCTCGATTTTTTTTTCCACCCCTCCCCACTCGTGTCTGCTTCTCTATGCAGCCGGAATGGATTCTCGTTGTGGGGGGGCCTGCCCTATTTGATAAGGACGAGGACCTTTTCGCTTCTCTCCTATTCAATCCGAGACGGATGCTGAAGCCCTTCCTCGAGTTTCATCTTTCAATCAGATATCATCCTTCCCAACACGGAAAACATATTACTGCGTTCACGGACTGGAACTCTCCTCGGTCTCAATCCCATCAGTACCGTGCGGCAAAGTTCCTTCAGCCGACGGATTCCGTATTTGGGGCACGGATCCTAAAATGCAGCCATCGGCATCTTTGCCAGAGCTTCAAGGACGGAATAGATTCGAGTCCGCTTCATTATTATACAAGCTACCTTTCACTCTGGCTGACGGACGAAATCAGCAGAGGCTAGTCAGATGAGTCATAAGTGACAAAATCAACGGAGGCTACCATCGGATGAGTCATAAATAGCAAAATCAGCAGAGGCTATTACCCGATGAGTCATACGTGGCGCCCATCACGAGAGCAAGAGAGAGCGACCTCACCTCCTGGGCGATGCGGGTGGCGCCCGGGGAAATTGCGCGGGGGAGGCCTGCCCAGCTGGAAGTTCCTGGGCCTTCTGTCCATCCTTTGGGGGGGCGCGGGGGAAGGGAGGGCGTCACATCACGGGTAGGCACACTCCGAGAGACGCGGGTCTCGGCTCGATCACCTCTCTGATGAAAGCACTGGCCAGATATCTTGGACGGAGATGGCGCTTCGATGAAGCAGAGGTTCAGTGATATTGTCTCTTTGATTATCTGTTGACACCGGCATAAGAACGTGAAACAGTTAGGTCGATTGGAGGTCTGCAAAGATAAACAGAGCAGCGCGAAGTTCTGCTTAGCATCAGATCGTTCAGGGGGCTCTTCAGCATTTATTGTCATGGAATGAGGGACAAAATACCACGAATGATGAAATATGACAAAGAAAAGGAGCGATACAGAAGAGAATGCTAATGGTCTAAGTGCAGTGGTTGGGAGGTTACAATGGCCCCAAGTGGGCATCTCCCCTCCATCCCCTCCCATGTGCTCTCCCCTATGAGAGTGTCCATATTTCACACTTATCTCATAATGCACTTGTCACTAGGTGAACATTTTTCAAAATAAAAACAGATGGTTCAAACAATTCATGGCTCTCACCAAATTGGTGAAATTAAAATGCTGCAAAATGAGAAATTAATGAAATCAGTCTTGTGAAACTCAGCGATACTTTACTCAAAAATGGTCATGAAAATTTTATGCAGAAACAAGGCATCTGTGTGACTGCATAAGGAGCTCCATTTATCTTTTACAAAGAAAGGATGCTTACTCTCCAGAAAAACAAAACCCATGCAGCTCCTTCCTCCTTCATTCAACTATACAAAGTTCTCATTCTCCTTTTGATCACTGTAGCCATGAAGCTCTATTGAAACTTCAAAAACTGAAAACATAGGCATAGGCAATGACGCGTGAACTTCCTGTTGAAGTTAACCACAAAACAAGAGTTATATCTCAAAAACATCTAGCGAAATCAAGTGAACCTGGCTATGGAAATGGGAAAGTCCCAAGAGACAGGTGTGAAACTGCCGTCATGCTTGCGCGAGTAAGCCACAGACGTATTCCAAAGTGGATTCCCACAGATGGGGCTGTTAAAATGCAGTGTATTGAAAATTTACATTTCTTGCTGCTTCGTAGCTGTTGCATGACAAGACGGATGAAGGACTTTCAAAGTCACCCAACTGCCTGTTTCCTTTTGTATCCTGAAATAAGTCTTTTTGGTGGGCCTGCTTACATTCTCATTACATAATTCTCTTACATACCTCTTGAGCAGAACTATCTACCAGGGTTATCAAAATTTCTCATAATTTGTATCATGAGGTGTCAGAATATACCATTTTGATAGAAGCTTTTTTATTTTTAAACATACCTGCTGCTCTGCAAATTTTCAGTACATCCCCATTGTTTATTCTCCAATGAAGTACATTTCAAGCACTACATGATCTTGGAGAGTTTTGCTTTTCTTTAAAATGTGATACTTGCAAAGCTTTTTTCATGCATGGACAAAAGGCTTTCATTGAAGAATTCTGGATTTTACACATGCTTTGCCTACTTTTGAAATCGGTTTTTTATTTTTCTGCTGCAGTCCTCTGTCACCATTGACATTGAGGCAATGTCAATGATGTTCTCATGCACCTTAGAAATGAGATTTTTCATTTTTCATTAGGTATGGCTACCATTCTCCAATATCTATTCAAGCATAAATAAGGATAGCATTATGTCTTAGTTGAGAAAGGCTCGAGTGAGGGACTCAACCTATGTGGTCTAAAAAGGGATCCAAAATGGGATTCATGACAGCAATTAGAATAAAACTTGAGGCAATCACATGCCCAACCCCTTGCAGTTAGCAGCCCTCCTATTGTTTTGCATCAACACAGTTTTTCCCCCATAGATTTGTGGTGAATTAAGATAACCTCTCATTCACTGTAATGTCCAGTGGCACCTTGTAAACTTGGAAAGAGCCTCTACCCACTTTAAAACAATTAATGCCTGATATATCTCCTCATCAATTTTTTTTCATTATGATGAAACTCAGGAAAAATCTAGGTGCAGGTTTACACTTGGCCATTTAGTTGTAGTATAATACTGGAAGTATCAGATTCTCATTGAAGGTATGGAAGCCATTGTTTGGTCCCAAGCTGACCTTGGGTAATTTTGAATGCAGAAACTCACATTTCTACATTCCCAGTCACCACAGCTGAATGATAAATGTATACTGTGCAGTCTTCCTTATACAACCAACCCCTCCCCAGGGCATTTGGCCAAGTCTTCCCTCTAATGTTAGGCATATAATTTCATTGGTGCCTTTTCATCCTATCTCTCGTATTACCCATTTTTAGCCATTCCCCATGAGTCTATGGAGAAGGAGTTCTTACAATGGTAAATCTATGATAGACTAAATTATACCAATAGATTCCAAGCTTCAACTGAGAAAAAAAAGAATTTTTTTATTATCTCAGTCATAACATTTTAACTGCGCCATCTCTTGCATTTGGTTTAGACGGTGCCTTATCCTGTGAGAACTCAACTGCTAAGATGGATGATATTATTGCAGAATGGCACAACATGGTGAGATGTGATGAAACAAAAACGTGACGGGCGTGTTGACATAACGAACCACACCCCTATGCTCATAATCTAATCCTGCCCACACTTTATGCTAGTCCTACAGCCAAGGTTTTACATGTGTTACACCCAACCAAAATTAAGCTTAGGCCTACACCCCTATTAGCCCAGAAACAAATTTAGGCATATAACACAGTTTACCACTGAAAAAATGAGGCCCGATAAGACCTGACCAAGCCCCTTGAGTTTGTAATCGCATTCAGCACGAGCATTCACGGCGGTTGCCATGACAGAGCCATTCAGAGTCCCGAGCATGTTCTGGGCGGGTCTTCTTTTCATCATGGCCGCGTCCAGGATCTCACGATACACGTGATCATTTGCTCCATCGTGCTTCTGCCACGTAAGAGTTTAGACCCAGTCCTTGGACATCCACGCTTGGCCTGTACGGACATCGGTTGGGGACAATATATCTTCATGGCTCTGAACTTCGTCTCCGTTGTGATTCTAACAGCATTTCTTCCCTTGATTCTCCTGAAAATGGTGAGGCCGGATGAAAGTTTCTTTCATTTAGACAAGCATGTACACATTTGTTGAGTCTTCTGGTAAAGTATGAGTTAGTAGGAAAGATAAGCACTGCATGCGCTTACTCAGCATTACATTTTATCGCATAAGCTTTTCATGCGATATAGGAATAAACATATATGGGAAGGGTAAAAGAAGTGGGTAGAGGGATCAGTCTGATGAGCCTCCAAGAAGTCATAAATGTGAGGCATCATTTGCAAGCAAAATCACAGCAAGCAGTGATGAACAGAGGGGATCAACTAGGTCAATTTAAAAGCTATTAAAATCATATTTCTCGTATTGAATGATCTCTGCAAATTTTGGAATGGCATATGCTAGATTGTCAGCAAGATGTTATAGTTTTTTCTTAGAAGTTGATACTTCTGGCATGTGAAGATGTCTTATGAAAACTTTGAAAAATTGTATGCCTAAACAATTAAATTGAAGCCACTATTGTGTATGCATTCTTCTAAGGGTTATAGAATTACCTTTCCTTGTGAGATATTTTAACCCATCATTTTCTCATGATTAACCAGGATTATGAGCCATTCATGAAAGATCTGGAAACTTTAAAATTGCAGAGTTCATATGCATGCTATCATTAATTTAATTGATGCAAAGATTCATCTTAATAGAATGAACTTGGTTTTCTCATATATTATCTATGAGGCCCATTATTTAATTTTTGGAATTTACTGTAAAGGAGTTGCATAGAGTCTCAAATTTTGATTCCTTCCCTTATGTACAAAAATAGCAATTTTCATAGAGCTGCTATATTGGCTTCACATGTGAGCTGATGTGATATTTGTGTATGAAAGTTGAGTAGAGAGTCTATCTATTTCCCAATACTTTTTGGATTTAGAAATGTGAATTACTTGATCTCTGCTTTCCGTTTTGTAGTTTTCTTCATTTTGAACCAGTGTTTCATACTGAATCACAGGAGTGAAGTTGTCATTGTCATCTGCTTGCCTGTAACTACATTAAGATAAGGGGATGAAAATGATTAAACCATTCTCAAATTTTCTCAAGAGAGTGGTTTATAATACCAGCATTTATGTAATCTGCAAATATTGCAGATTTTTATGTGATCAAACTATAAATGTTAAAAAATATCCCTAGACTAGAGCTTACAGGGATGTCTGCAGGAAGGTGTATACCAAGATGAGTCTCTCAAATGTAATCAATGCAAGCAACTGGGGAATATTTTTGTTGTTGTTGTTGTAATGGGGACTGATTGGTTTTGCTTGAATGAATTTAGCTACCTTGGAATGGCTCTAGAGGAGGTTGAATCTATTTTGCTTTCTCTTCCAGGTTTTCCATTGGCACAGAAAGACTGGAAGAAGGAAGACAGTGGGATTCTTTCACCCATACTGCAATGCAGGAGGGGGAGGTGAAAAGGTGATGTGGTGTGCTATCAATGCGCTGCAAAAGAAGTGAGAACTCATGTTTTGAAGTTATTTTCTTTGGGAGCCTCTTCATGGGATCTTTAAAAATACAAACCTTAACCTACAGTTTTGATGAAATTTGCTTAGACATGGGCCTCTGATTCAGAGCTCCTGGGATTAACATCCATTACTTTTGCTTGCATTTGGCCCATCATACAGAAAGAAGCTATGTGTTACTTTTCATTTAAGTAGCATTTGTTATTAAAATCACTCAGACTTTGTTAACTTAAGAGAAGGTTAAGCCAAGGGGATCTCATTGAAGCATTCAGGATGACTAAGGGTGCTGATAATATGGAGCATGATACATTTTATACTTGTGAAGTGGGGGGAGCATTGAGGGGCAGTCAACTGAAGAGTAACACAATCATTTACTGTTTGTATTGGTACTTCATTGAGAAAGTTAAGCTTTAACAAGTTATATATTGCAATTAAAATCATTTTGCAATTCCTTCTTTTGGCAAAATGCCACAGAAGTTACAAAATGAAGTTACTTTTCCACTTTAATGAGCCAAGTTCCTTGATCTTTTCTGTAAGTGACTATATTCTACCAATCTCTAGGTTCTTTTCAATTTAATTACTGTAAAAGTGACAGACTGAGTTGTCTTCATTCATTGGTTCCCCATAGCCTTATAGGCAGTATTCTTACTCCCTTGGCTCAAGCATGCAAGTTATTCAAGGATGCTGCAATTTTCTTTTGCCGATGAAAAAAGTTATTGCATGAAGCTTTCAAATTTTCCTATATTTATTGAACTACTTTGATCTTTTTTATGATGCTAAACATACAAGGAGTATCTCTTCCCTATTTCCAATTTATTAATGATACTGGCTATCTTTGAACTTATAAACCAATGTAGCATCATTGGCATAATTGGTTATTACCATATGGATACTGATGTCCCTGCTTGAAAAAAAGGAGAGAGAAAGACATGTATGTGTGGATTTGGCCCAATGCTGGACCTCCTCTTCTCTCCAATAAAGTGACATGTTTCTGGCCTTCTTCAGGAGAAAATAATATGAGGTAATATAAAAATTGACTATCAACTAGAGTGGGAAAAGTCAAAGACAATGTGCAATACTTGAATTAGTTCACGAGATGTCGATCTTTGATCAATTAACACATGCACCAACACTGACAGATGGATATGAGGTCATAATCAGCTGTCATTCAAAACTTGGCAAGTATTAGGTAATTCACCTTAGAAAAGATTGTAACTGAAACCCCTTATGCATTGGACTTTCTGGACTTGGCAGAACCTGGCAGACTTGATACCATTAAATTTCATGGTGCCATATAGCTGGATATTGATTTTCACCCATGGTAAGCCTCAGCTATGAGTATTTGGGTGTCCAAAAAAAAGGCAAAATCCCTCATTTGCTCTTATTCTTCCCTAATGAGAGTAGGACTAATGGATGATATTGCCAGGAGAATGTTTTCATGCAGTTGGAATATTAACAAATCTAATAGATTGACCTTTTTTTCCATTAGATATCCAAAGTGGGAATTCGTGATCTACACTGGAGATGTGGAAAGCCCACCCAACCTAATTCTCAAGAATGCCAAGGAAAGGTTCAACATTTCACTGGAACGAGGAGTCACCTTTGTTTACCTACGAACAAGATTCTTAGTGGAAGCCAAAATGTACCCAATATTCACCCTTCTTGGGCAAAGTATAGGCTCTGTCATTCTTGGGTTAGAGGCATTGTTCAGGTTCCTTCCAGGTGAGAAGAGATGTTATTCACAGTCATGCTGTGATATCATATTTGAGTTTTATTTTAGTAATTTCTTGTGTAAATTTCTTGATCTCTTGATTGTAGGTAAAATTTGGATGTCTCATTTTGTCCCCTAGACTTTCCTTACATGGCATATGATCCTCTATCCTCCTTCCCCTCAGAAATAAAAGATCAAAGGAAAAGCCTGATAATCAGCCTATGACCTAGTCTAAAGTGAAAAAATATGGTTAAAGCCTTTTTTTTTTTTTTTTAAAGACATGAGCCTGACTTTTTTATTTCCAGATGTGTATGTGGACAGCATGGGATATGCCTTTACCTTCCCTCTGTTCAAGTACATTGGAGGATGCCACATTGCTTGTTATGTTCATTATCCAACAATCAGCACAGACATGCTACATCTGATCCAGTCAGGTGCAGCTACGTACAACAACCGTGCTGTTGTTTCCAGGAGTCCACTACTCAGCCGATGCAAGCTCATATACTATCAATTCTTTGCTGCCATCTATGGGTTTGTTGGGTCCAGAGCTGATCTCATCTTGGTGAACTCTTCATGGACAAAGGGACACATTGAGGAAATTTGGAAGCCTAGAAAAAATGTACTGACTTGAAAAACAATTCCATGATCCTCATTGTGCCAGAAAGAAGTTTTTCTTGATTTTTTCTTATTGTAGGTTCACCTGGTCTATCCACCTTGTCAGACAGAGGAACTTTCATCTCTCCCCCTTCTCAATGATGATGAAAAGCCAAGATGGGACATCGTGTCTGTGGCTCAGTTCCGACCTGAGAAGAATCATGAGCTGCAATTAAGAGCCTTCAAATGCCTGTTGGAAAAAGCAAAAGCATTAAAGATGAAAACAGAGAATCTTCACTTGATTCTGATTGGTGGATGTCGGCATGCAGAAGATGAGATGAGAGTGAATCTTCTCAAGGATCTGGCCAAGACCCTTGACATTGATGATCAGGTCCAATTTCATCTCAATGTTTCCTTCTCAGAACTTAAGGAGGCCTTCCAGAATGGCACCATTGGCCTTCATACCATGTGGAATGAACATTTTGGAATTGGTAAGCATGAGACTGCTATTTGGTGAGAAAAAATTGTTGTATCCAATTGATGATGGACTGAACTGGATCATGAAATCATTGGCATGGTAGCCTGAATCAGTGCGATTTAAATATTTGATCCAATCATCTCATTTACTTAAGAGCACTATCAATTTTATACCTCATTTGCACTGTGAACCTCAAAGCAACACAAGAGTTCATATTTTAGCCTAGCTGTGTGGATAATGAAAATGATGCATAACCCTGGTCAGGCCTTCAATATTGCATCACTGGCTGACAGAAGTGATTGAATTCTCGCCTCATCAGCTTGCTTCCAAGAGGCAGGCATAGCTTGTTCAATCTAAGCTTATGGCACCTGAAGGTATGGAGATATTGATGTACATTCATATTTGTTGGTGAAAAGTTTACTTTTATATTTTTTACACATACAAAATGATTATAAGGCTGGTTGGCAATAAAGAGCCACAATCCACAATATCAGACATTGATTGGGAACCATTGTGCAACTTGGTGGAAGTTGTATTGAGCATTTCTTACCCTGAATACATGATATAATGCTAGCACTGCCCACTATGAGGCATGCTCTTCTTTGCTTAATGTTCTCCCCATGGTGCACTCAACTCCCAATGTTTCCCTGAACTGTGATGCATGGTTTTTGTTACAGAATATTGTACACCCTCCTTCATACACCATCCACTCACCATTGGTTTTTGCATACAAGGTGATTTATCTTGTATGTAAACCACCCCTGGTTTATGGACAAGATAAATTCTCAAATGCACTTTGCATGCCTTGCAGCCCACAGGCCAGAGGTTGAATACCCAATATAATCCAACTTAAGTAAATTATTAGAGCATGAAAGTCATAGCATTCCCAAGTTGCAAATAAAAGAAGTAGCCGAGGAATCTCTGCTGTTTTCCAAATGATTAAAATTCCAGAAATTGTGAAGTGTCCAGCTTTATCATCACATTGTAACAATCAAGGTGTTTTTTTTTTCCCAACTCAAACACTCATTGGTTTGCAGTGGGCTGAAGCAGTCAAAATATCAATATATGAGCTACTAGAAAAAAAAACTGAATAAACAGGTGGAAAACAACCTAGCAGCATGATGCATATTTCTATACCTTGGGCTTCTGCATTTATTAAGCCACCAGACTTGCATCAATTAAGCCTGACTTAGTGCTCATTTCAAGCTATATTTACAGTAAATACTAATGAATGCCCCAATTGAATGAAGTTTTATGTTGAAAGGGGGGGGGTCAGACATGATGTAGATACCCTAAACTTGATGAAGTTCACTCCAAACTCTCAAAAATGATAGGTTGGAGATGGAGATAGTAAATATTGAAAACTTGGATCTAGCTTCAGTTTGGATTCTCTTTGCAAAATATGGATATCCATAGTTTAGCTTTCCTGCAGTTGCTTAAGTTCCATGGGATTTCATCCCCTTACATTATTCTTCATGCTCCAATGTAACTAGGCTTCCTGCTAAGGAGCACCTGAGATCACTTTTTATCACTTGTATTATTGTATTGTACCTATACTTAGTACTTGATACCTGAAGTGCAATGACTTGAATGACTACAAAATATTATTTTTTTTTTCCTTTCTTAGGTTTATTGTTCATTGGGTTACTTAGATACTGGGTTCACAATTGTTGGTATTCACCAAAACACTTAGAAATGGAGTTCATAGTCCAGTTAAACATGCCTGGAATCAAAAGTTCTAAGTTTTGGTTCTCAAATGCATTCACTTTTTCCTCATTTACTAATTCACAGCAGCTATGAAGAAAATGCTTTGATAACTGCTATATTATACACTGCTTGAATTCATGGTATTAGCATTTGACTACCTTATTCATATGTACCTCATGCCACCTTTAAATCCTATTTAATACATATCTACTTCTAGTGAAATTAAAAGGTTCCTTTCCCTTTTCTAATTTTCCATAGGAGTTGTGGATGGGATGGCAGCTGGCCTTATCATGGTGGCTCACAATTCAGGAGGCCCCAAGATGGACATTGTAATCAGTCATGGAGGGAACAGAACTGGATTCCTTGCTGATGATGAAGAATCCTTTGCTGGTGCCATCCTGGAAGTGATGAAAATGAGCTCAGAGGAGAAGCGTACTATTCAGCTGGCTGCCAGGCAAGTTTTCCCCTTGTGGAGGTTTTATCTTTCCTTGTCTTTTCTAATTCACTGTCCGTTAGAAAATCCTTGCACAATTAAATTATTTTCCTTATTACACTGCCTTCTAGTCAAGTAACTGCATCATATTGCTACCATCTAGAATATAAATGCTTTTCAAACACAACCCAGCATGTATATCTCAATCAGCACAGTGAATGTGACATTGACTCTTACAAATTCATATCAGTAAATAGCTGATGTCATGTTTACATCCATAATAGACAAATGGTTAACAGACTTTGCAAGTCATGGTTCTCCTCCTGTTGCAGGGAGTCAGTGGAGAGATTCTCCATGGCTCGTTTTGAGGAATCCATCTTGAACTGCTTCAGGATGCTTCTCTCTGAGTGAAAATATGGGTTTGTTTTCCAAGATCTGTGATCCATTGAACCAGTTTATATATTTCCACATTTTCCACATGGATTTTTGTTGTGATTAGGAGTTGAATGAGAATGAAATGATAATTTAATCCTGATTATGTTTCTTTCCCCATCACTCTTCTTTGGCATTCCATTTGGTTTGTTACTTGGAATTTTTTTTAATCGTTTTTGTCACTGGCTAGAGGAGAGCACTTAGTGATGGATAAGTTATAGTTAGTACACCATAGCTATGAATGGTATCAATCCCAGATGTGAATTGCAGTTTCTAATCAAAGATGGATGGATGGATCACATGGACTGACTTTTCTGGCAATAGGTGGTGTTAATGTTGTCACAGAAAATGTCATCATCCTAACTAACAGTATCTATCCTTGGAAACTTTACCCCATAACTGTCTCCTTCATTTACTCCATTGAAAGCAATTGGGAGTAATAATATAATATTAGTGTATACTAAAATAATAAAGAGAAAGAAAGCCTTGTTACAAAAACCAAAATAAAACTATGTAACTAAAAATATGTTTTCAGTATTAAGTTCCATAGCATTTTAGTTTCATATTTCACAGTGGAACTGTTAAATGGTTTTAAATTTGACTCTTTGGAATCAATGTGAAATCTGCACTGGAGAGTATAATTTCCAATTTTATTTTAATATCCTTGTTAACCTCTTGCCTGTTTAGGGTGTAATATTACATCCTACATGACAGTCTTCCAAGAGAAAATACAATAGGAGGAGAGTTAGTAGGAAAAGAATGAAGAATGACACAGCTAAGGAGTTAACCCTTTAGTGCAGTGTGGTTTCTTCCCACCTTTCATATCATGTGTGTATGACTTCCTTATGAAACCACTTTGGTTGCTTGATTGGTGCTCCTATCTAGGGGCAGAAATAGGAACCAGTTGGATTTGATGTTTGGCTGACTACAGAAAGATATGATGAGAAGAGATATAATTTTTTTCAGCAAGTTGATGATCAAAGGTTTAATATAAAATGGCTGAATCACCAATTCTGCATTCTGCGTCTCACCCATTTCACATTCTCATGGAAGGATACCTTTGCTCTCATTTAGGGAGAGCTAGCACACTCAACACACTTCTCTTCCTGGCCTTTATTTTTATTCCTGTCCCAATGGAAAGAAACTGACTGCAAAATTGTGAGTGAAACATGTTGGTTCTTGACTCAATGGAAAGAACTTGATTGATAAAAAATAAAGGTCCTCACATCAGATCAGCATGAGTTCCCAAAGTAGGGCTTGGCTCAGAGAAACCTCTCATTCATTCTCAGTCCTGTCTCCAGCCAAAATCAGTTCCATAAAAAAACATTTACAATAATTCAGTCTATGTATTTTCCATCAGGTTTCCTCTTGTCGATCTTGACCTGTTATTACATTTAGATCTTGGTGCTACAGGCCTTCTTCAACCTATTGTTTACCCATCTGATCTTGTTCATGCAATATTGTTGACTGCCCCCCTCGTGAGCATAAGCGCACGAGGGGGATGGGGGAGGCACAGAGTTATTGTGCCTACCCTACCCATCACTATTCCTACATGATCTTGCAACACAAATAAGGGGAAAAGATGAGTATGTTCATTCCCATTGTAGTGCAACTGCTCAGCTAAAGGAACTTTAGGGTGGAATATGGAACTTGCCTGCTCAAAGTAAATTTTAATCTATTTTTCAACTGGAAAAACCACTTCCTTGTATTGATTTCATGGCAAATTTTGGAGATAGGACTAACAGAACAGCCACATAAAAAATTAACCTAATTCATCATTGCATGCTCATCTTTTGTTAATCATGCATCATCATACAATGGAGATAACAGGAGAACTGACAAGGCACCTCCATAAATGTTGTAAATTGCTTTGCCCCAGTTCTGAAGAAGTAATTAAATCTTCAAGATGTAATATATTCTCCAGACATTGCTTTTGTTCTATACACAATCCGATTTGACGATCGAAAATGAGGATTAAACTAGAAAACAAGAGCGTGCCCATCGTGTCGGAACGCGAACTTGAGTCTCAAAGGAAAGTAACTCATCAATAGTACTAAAACAAAAGCAATATCGATTGAATCTACCGTTGCCATTTGAGTGGTACTCAAAATGAAAGTTACATCTTGGCCACCTTCCCCCCCTTTCAACATAAAACTTCATTCAATTGGGGCATTCATTAGTATTTACTGTAAATATAGCTTTCTTTTCCCCCCCCCCCCCCCCCCCCCCCCCCCCCGACCTCACAACCTAAAGTCACTTTCATTTCAGGCTTCACATCACCCTACTCCGCTGTCAGGGCTTGACAATGACGACTTAAAAGCTAGGCCCACAGGTCTCCCAACATCCCTCGTCGTCCCTTCGTCCCTTGCTCCCCTCAGATTTACGATACGGGCAACACGTGCCTGTCGTCGCGTGTTGTGAGGCAGCGATGCGATGCAAGTCACGTGCAGCGGTGGACTGCCGGATTTCATTCCGCTCAGCCACTCACGTTCACGCGTGGCAGTCCAACTTTTAGTCTAATCACACCTTTTCCTTCCCCCTACCATATTTTTTCTAATCAATCGCATGAAGCACGAAGGAACTGGACTGTAATGACATGTCTTCATGAAGCATCAAGTAAATGTTACCATTAGGGTCTCCTAATGCGTACCGGCTGACACGGCTACAGATAAATCACTTTGATTCGCATCAGGAAGCCTCGTGTTTCGCGTTAACAAAGCTTTTCCATCTCGGACTCGTCGAGCCAGGTCATAAGGTCGTAGAGAAAGCGCAGCTGGTCGGTGCCGACTTGCTCAACCCACGCCATCAGCGATTCACAAAAATGATCCTGGGAGGCGAGGTCCACGCCCCACCCTCCGGTCTCGGCCGAATGCCCACGGAAGAGCTGGTCACGTGACCAACTCGACTCTCCCGATTGGTTCGTTTCGCAGATCGCCAAATGTTCAGCGCCGGCGAGATCGGGCTGAAGGCCTCGAAGACGCCAAGCAGTGTTGTTCCAACTTTTTTTCTAGGCTCCCTCAGATATCAGCGGCCTTATTCGCGAAACAATCTTACGAACTTTTTTCTTCGCAAGAGGAAAAAAGTTCCAAAGTGGTATTCGCGAAACATTTTTGCGTAAGAACTTCGTACACAGTTCGTAAGATTGCTGGACAATTTCGGTATTCACGAAAGGGCAAAAGTTCGTATCTTTCTTCCTAAGTCCACGATTGGTCCGGAGGTATCGTAAGTGTCCGTCACAATGAACTCAAGCCAATTTCTTGAACTTCCATTAAGTGTCTCAAAAAAAGCAAAAGTTCATTTACACTGGGGGGTTCGCAGGATTTTGGTGCGGAGGTCATAGGGTCCACATTTGGGAGATATTTTCCCTCGGGTCATTAGATAGTTTATTTTTTCGGATGTTTTTCCTCGGGTCATTCACTTTTTTGCATTCCTATGTTATTTGGTTATCACTTACCATGAATCGATGAAGATTCTGACTGGGTGGTATAGCCAGTGTCACCGGAGGAAGATATTATGCCAGAAAACTCTCTTTCCTCCAATCATCGAAATTATTCTCCGACACAATTCGGACAATGGAGAAGGACCCACCGCCTGTCTCGGTCGTCTCTCCGAGGAACCCTTCGCCTCAGCATTCGATTTCAAGCCGATGAAATTTTTTTTCTTCACTTCCATCGGCAGATGTCCGTGCAGAAAAGACGCAGCTCAACTTCTTCAATGATCTTCCTTGATTTCCTCACTTGAGAAATTCGGTCCTCGGCCACTCTCCACGATTCCAACTTTGGTGCTGTACCCTCAACGCTTCCTTCGGCATTTCTGAAACCTTGAGGTGGTTTTCTTTACGATAAGATTCAGTGGTACGGTTTTAATGGATGTTTTTCAAAGGATTCGGCGGAACCTCCAATTATGTCAAAACTTCCTCTAAGGACAAAAACTGTCGCAGTAGACGCAGGAAGTTTGCGGATGGCCGTGGGTCAGGCTGCCAGCGTGGATATGCACGTTGCTCTCTGCTCTGTGATTGGTTCGCTGGCTCCCGTGATCGGCCGTGATTGGTCGGCGCATTATCATGGCTGCGAAGTTTTCGTGAATGCGGCCCCTGAAGTGAAAAGCACCGGCTGAATGGTAGATCAAGATTCGGGTCTCGTAGGTCCTCGCAGGACCCCTGGAACTGAGGTGAATCTTGAGTGCGAGGCTGAACGGCTTACAAGAGGAGCCCAACTTGGTCGAAGAAAGCGTAACTCGAGAAAAAGAATTAGACTCAGTGACCAGCCTTACAACTCCTTCAAGTCTTCGTGCGAGACTTGAGTGTCTCTGACGGTTGGTTTTGGGAAATTAGTTATTGCCGTTTCCAACGATGTCAATGACCCTTTTAGAACCCTTCATTCTCTGCCTCGTCGAAGGTCGGTGATCGACGGTGCTTACAAATGGAAAAACCTGCGATCGGAAGGACTGTAAAATGCAATGGATCGCGTAATTACAATTCATCCTCCCTGGATGTCTATAAAGATAAACGACATTCCATGTTTTCGTGAGTAACATCATCCGAAGAAAGCAAAACCCACGAAGCGCGTTGAAGAGCAGAAGCCCGCACGAAAAACCTCGAAGAATGCGGGACCTCCCTCGTCTCCCATCCTAGGCCTTCTCTCGCAGCGGCGGGAATGCATCGACGAGTTGAAGCCTCGATCCCGCGCTCTTGCATCCCTTCCCGCCAGATTTTCCCAGGCTGACGTCACTGGGAAGACGAGATCCAATTTACACGGCATCCTCCTAACACCCAATGACCCTAACCCAGTTTCTCTGGGCGGTTCGACGAGCGTCTGAACGTCTGTCGACGGCACAGGGCCGGTTGCCTGGAGCCACTTCTTTTTCCGTTCTTCTCCGTTGGAACACATTATACCTGCAGTATTTCATTCTGTTGGTCTCCAAGCGGCAGAAAAGCGACCATTTACGGATAGATTTTTGTTTTAAAATCCGCTCCTCCATCCTCCACAGCCCATCTTACCTTTTTTTTTCAAATAATATTATTTTATTAATAGGATAATGGGGTGAAGGATGCAACTTGAGAGTTTTGCATCTACCTTCCACAGCTAGGTCGTATCATAGTATCACCTTAGAGAAGGATCAAAGTGGATTCTAACCTGCTAAATTCAACATTTCGTTTTTTGCGCCGTCGGATTGACCCCGATACATTTTCAGTGTTTGCACCTCTGATCCTCCACATTTTTAGTCCAATACCATTCGGTCTGCCGTGGGCCTGGAGTGCTCCAACAGCTGATAGAGAAGACACAATTTGTTGCCAGCTTCATCATTTCACCTACTTGCAGGCTTGGTGCATCACTCCTCTACCTAGAAGTAAATTATCTCAATTTGATTTTGTGCGAGGGGAAAGAAGCGAGAAGTAGGCTTGAGAATTCCCCCCGGGTCTGGCAAAGCCATCCTAATTTGAGGACTGAATTACTCGCTGACTTCGCACGTTTCATCCAGCAGCAGATAAAATTGAGCCGAGAGAAGTGCGATGATCACCTGGCCGCCAGAAAAGCCTTCCCCAGTCGTCTCCTGCGGCTGACTGCAAGTCACCATGACGGTTGGAGGGTCCGAGGGGTTGGATGGTCTTTCATCCGAGGGACCAGCTACTTTTAAGCACTAACAGGAACATGGAAAGCAAGAACGGTATGCTTTTTCATTGCACGATTTCTTTATGTGACGTATAGTCGTTGAGATGTAAACTCTGGTCGTAGTAAATAAAAAAATGCAAAAAAGCACGTCAATTTCATCAATCTGCTGTTTTATTCATAAATATTCTCTTGAGTTTCACATGGCAGAAAGAAATCTTGGTTGAAGGGAACAGCACAATGACATGAAAGTTTTTGGCACTGTACAAAAAAAAACTGAAGGAATCAAAATTTCACTCATCAATATGGCTTGGAAGAGATGAAAGCCCCCAATCTGAAAAATAGTCAGCATGGCTGGAAAGTAGAAAATTTCCTGAGATGGCCTTGGGATGGCATGAAAGGTTCCTTCAACATCAGGTCAATGAGAGTCAACAACAACAAATAGGAACAACAATGGCACACAGTTCAAGACTGATATGTGATTAGAAACAGGCTCTACCACGAGTGAGAAATTCTTCCTTACTTTTGGCACCTATGGAGAAGCCGGTCAGTGTATTCGGGAAGTAGAGAGGCACTTGAAGGGAAAAAACACAAAAACTTGATCACAATTTGAGAAAATTCATGATAAAAAAAAATATCACATTTGGGGTTGGCATCAAACATATTCCTCGTTGGGCTTGGGTGTGTTGTGTCTCGAGCCGGTAGGCAGGGGCAAAGGAACGGACGGAGGTCCGACCGGGCCCCTTGCCTCTCCCGCGGGGAGCGTGTTCATCCGACTCGAATACGAGGGTCCTGTCCCCCAGTTCCTCACATAAGGATCCCAGTCCACAGAGTTCACATTCGGTTTATATGACATGTCATCATCTGATGCCACTAAAGTACTCAGGGATCCCCTGAAGGCATCAAAGCCTGGGTATTTCTTATTGAGGGATTTCTCCCGATCCCCCGCCGCGATGGGCGGGCGTCGGAATTCACGACGAGGTTGGTGCACTTTCTCGTAGTTGTTCTCGTACTCGAATTCCGAGCACGTGAAGGAATCGTTCCCACTCTCATCGGTGGAACTATCTGGAGGTTCCAGCATCTCGTGGCTGGGCTCCATGTATTGGTTCTTGCGTCGATGCTCATCACTGGATGTGCTCAGGGCATCCAGGGTGCTCACAAGACTAGAATTCCGCGTATTCCGCTTGTCACCTTTCAGCTGGGGCTTTTTTGTGCTTTGTGAGGATGTGTGCATGCTCCCTGAGCTGTTGCTGAGATGGCTGACAGGGCTGTTGAGGCTCCGCTCGCTGTTTGTCACAGCCACACCACTGGTGGTGGCAAGCAGTGCCTGCTGCAGCGGCTTCCCGCTGATGTCCTGCAGGGTGAATATGCGAGGAGTTTGTTGAGACAGTTCACTGCTGGGACTCAACCTTGCCAGAGGTGTACTCTGCATTTTGATGCTTGGTGAGTCCCTGGGTGCAGATGCCAGGGGATTTGGACTCTGGCGGAGGTGGTTTCGAGGACTGTCTCGATGAGGTGCCGAAGGCGGTGGGAATTGATGTGGTGAATGGCGATGGTTGTGCTTGTGGAAGTTTGTAAGGTGATGAGGTGGTGTGGCATGGTACCTCCGTACATTACCATCCCTGAATCCACGGTAATGGTAAACGACATCTATGTCCGATGGTGCAATGGAGCTTGCATTCTCCAGGTCATAGTGTTCAGGGATGTCATGGTCTCCCATACCACCAAGTGATGGAACTGTCTCTCTGAGTGGGTGAGAATCTTCCATACAGAGTGACAATCCACCAGCTGGAGACTTGTTAACGACCTCTCGTTCGATGATGTCTGGTCGAGGAGGGTCACGGAACTTCTTACCGGCCAGTTCCTGGGCAGCGTGAGATCTCAGCATGTCCTCTGCCAGATCACTTGGTTCAGCATAACCAGATGAGTCTGGATGATGATGATGATGGCGAGTGGTGTCAATAGGCGGATTTCCTGGAATCACTGTATTGCCATTTTGTTTCATGTGAGGTGGAGGACCCTTGTCCCGTTTGGCACGCCGGAGACGGAACACCACGAAGCTGATGAGGATGGCAACAAGGAGGACGACAAAGAAGACGATGACTAGAGTCACACCAATGCTGAGGGGGTCTGTGACAGCAGCAGCTCCCAGTGCTGCATTGGTGCATCCCTGCTCAACCATGCCAATGAATCGAGCCTGGAAAGGTACTCCTGATTCATTGAAAGGTTGAACTTCTCCATTGATTGTGAAGGTGGACAGGCATCCATGGAATCCTGTTAGGAGAGACAATACAATGGTCTTACAATAGTGGTCACACTTTCTCATTCAATAATATATAACACTACCATCAGTATGACAGTTTCAACTAGAAAACTGTAATATGAATGCAATAAAAATCCTGGCACCACTGTGCCATACTCACCAACATGGACTTCATTTGTCAGAAGCTCCTCCTTTCTGAATCCTCCCAATGCTAGTGTGGTCAAGTATGGGTCCAAGAAGTCATGGATACTGTTGGCATCAAGCTCATCTCCAAGCTGAACTCCATCCAGATGGAGAGTGAGGGAGTTCTCATGATCTACCACCAGAGTCATATTGTGCCAGGCACTGTCACTCACTGACACTTCAGTAAGTGTCATGTTGATAGGGACATTGGCTCCCACACGGGATGTGTATTTGATATGGCCATCGACGGTCTGTCAAAGGAAAACAATGTTCTGAACAGCTGCTCCAAATCGAAAAAAAGTATCTCAGAAATTAAGCAATTTCATGAAGACTCACCTGAATGAGAGTGTAATCAGAATTGGAGGCAGCATAGAGAAGGATTCCACTGGCATCAGCAGTACGGAATTTCAGCCCCATGGTCTTGACTGTTCCGGTATCTCGCTTCCGCCACCGGGTGTTTCTGAGGTATGGCAGGAGCTGATGACGACGAAGCTTCTCTCCGATCTCAAATTCCACATATCCAGATCCAGTCAGTGAGATAGGTGCAAAGGCCCGATCACAGTCAAAGGCCTGAAGTCCATTGGGGCATTGGCATTTGGCTCTATCCCAGCTGTCGATACAGGTTGCCCCCTCACCACAAGGATTATTGGCTTGGCACACCTCTGGATCTCGCACGCAGGTGTCTACAATGCCATATGAGTTGATGGGAGCTGAGAGATTCAGATTTCGGCCATTGATGGTCACACTCTGTATGCAGCCAATGAAGTCATTGCTTGACACCTGGCCGGGACGCTCTTGAATGTGAGATATGGTGTCTATGCCCCCAAGGTACATGGGCTTGCCACCAAAGCTCAAAGTCCTGTAAAACATGAATAAAAGAGGCAATGAAGTAAATGAAGAAAAATATTTTCAAATGGGAGATTATCCAACACTCACCCAGTGAGTCCAGTGTCATCTTGGTAGCACTTCAGGTTCCCAGGCTGACATTCCTTGCATATCTCTCCATTCTCTGAACACTCTCCAATACCCAAGGAAACCACACGTCCATTCCGTGTTGCAGTGATCTTGTGCCACTTGGAATCAGCTACATTCACCCCAACTTCAATGCTTGTAATTGCCGTTCTCGAGCCTCCATATGAGAAACGAGGTCTCCCGTTGACCAGCTCCACCGCCACAAAATCAGATCGTCCTCCAGTTGGCTCTCCAAAGTTGTAGATGAGAAGTGAATTGGGTTTATTGGTGGCAAAGACAATGGAAATGTCATTGGTGGTTGCATCAAGGCTCTTGAATGCCATGTATGAAAGCTCTGAGAATCCATGGGAGGATTCCTCACAGTGAGAGCCAAAGTAATTTGGAAGGCATTGGCAGCGATAGCTCGGTTTGAGGTCCACACATGTTCCCCCGTTAAGGCATGGGTTTGGACGGCAGGAGTCGGTCGTGATCTCACATTGACTGCCACGGAATCCTGGTCGACAGAGACAGAAGAAGCTGCCATCCGGGGTCTCTTGGCAGGATCCTCCATTGAGGCATGGTTCCATGTCACAGGCATTGCTTCTACCACTCTCGCATCGCTTCCCTTCGAATGCTGCTGGACAAATACATGTGAAGTCAAAGCCATTTCTGTTGCATTGACCACCATGTTCACAAGGGTTGGGCATGCATGGATCTTGCGGGAGTTCACATCGTTGTCCTGTGTAGTTTGGAGGACATTCACATGCATATTCATGCTTGATCAGAGGTGCTGTAAAGACCAGTGTTGGAGTATCCAGAATAAGCATGTCTCCATAGATATTCACGGCAGCTTTGCATTCTCCTCCATGTTCACATGGTGAGGAATCACAGGGATCATAGCCAACTGTCACCTCATGTCCTCCAAGTACTTGCTGGAGTCGTTCCCTTTGTGACTTCAACTTTGCACTGGCATCTTCCCAAGATTTATAATTGCCATCTTTCTCTCTCACTGCCAGGCTTACAATGACATCTTTGTCAGCCCCAACAATGCTGAAGATGTGAGGTTCTTCCCGAACATCAAAGAATGAAGACAGGAGGGTCTGAATATCTTTGAAGTGTTCTCCAAGAAATTTCTCCGGCGTCATATCTCGAATCCAGAGAGGGATACTGTTGCTCAAGGTGTCATTGGAGAATGCACTGAATCGAAGTCCTATGGATGAGGTCACATCTGGGTGTCGCCCATCATTACCAGTTACTGTGAGGCTGTATGTTGTCTGCTTGCTCATCCGTGCTGCATGAAGGCTGCAGCCTTTCGGTATGCTGAAGATGTTCCTACTACCACTTAGAATGTGGCAGTGATACTGTCCAGTGGAGTCAGGATCATTGGGTCTGACATCTGCCACCATACCGCCAGGGAACACTCCATTCAATGTTTGAATTTCAATTGTAGCTGTTCTGGCATTGCTAGGACTGTCATTCTGATCCAAGACCTTGACAGTGATTGGGTGCTCAGACTTCATCAGTGGTTTCCCATCATCGCGAACTTCCACGATGATGTTTAGCTCGGGGGTCTCCTCATGGTCGATGTTTCGGGTGGTTGTGATGATGCCTGTGTTCTCATCCAGTTTCAAGTAGGATTTATGTTCACCACCTACCAGATAATAAGTGAAAGGAGCTCCATTTGGTGAAAGGTCTGGATCAGATGCACTAAGCACCATGACACTGGTCCCAGCAGGTTCATTCTCTGTGACATAGCCAATCATTGAAGATGGATCAAATGTAGGTCCATTGTCATTGACATCTGTCAAGGTTACTCTCACAGTGGCAGTTCCTGTCTGTGGAGGGGTTCCAACGTCGATGGCTCCAATGGTCAGATTGTAAATGGGGATGGTTTCCCTATCCAATAGACCCTTGGTTTCAATCAGTCCACTCTGGGGATGGATTTTGAATGCCTTCTCTGGATTCCCAGCTATGATGGAGTAAGTGAACTGATTGTTCTGGGGCCTGACGTCTCTGTCGACTGCCTTCACCTTAAGGACCTTGGTTCCACGAGGCGAATCTTCAGAAATTTCGACAGTGTATAGATTCTGGTCAAAGACAGGAGGATCATTTCCATCTTGAATGGTGATGATGACCTGGGCTTCATCGGTATCATTGCCTCGAATGCTCCCTGCGTTCTTGGCCATCACAGTCAACACAACTCTGCTCTGTGATTCACGATCGAGGTTTCTTGCAACCAAAATCTCTCCTGTGTTGGGTTTCACAGCAAAGCCCTTATCATTGCTCGAGCCAACAAAAAGGTAGAAGACCTCTCTGTCCTTCCCTTCATCTTGATCCGTGGCCTCGATTCTTCCCACACTGGCCCCGATCATGGCAGATTCTGATACTGTGAACTGGAAAACTGGTTGAATGAATCTGGGATAGAATTCATTTTCTCCTTCAATGTGAACAAAGACTTTAGTTGAACCAAATTGTGTTGAATCTGGATTTGATGCCAACACATCAAGGTCATACAGGTTTGCCTTTTCGTAATCAAAACTGGTCTTCCCGATGATGACTCCAGTCATAACATCAATTGCAAATAATTCCTTTCCACTCCCACCAATGATTGAATATTGTATCAAGGCATTTCGAGCCGAATCTCGGTCGACGGCCACCAGTCGGCAGACGAACGTATCGGTTGGAGCGTTTTCTTTCAGATGAACGTCAAATCGAGTCTGGTTGAACTGTGGGGCATTGTCGTTAACATCAGTCAATGTGATGGTCAGGGTAGCTGTTGCACTCTTAGGCTTGAATGCTGTGTCAACTGCTGTGATTTCCAGTTGGTATTGAGGGACCTCATCATAATCCAGGGGTTGGACAATGCTGATGGAGCCAGTGACAGGATTGATGCGGAATTTCCCCTCGTCGTTTCCGGCAGAGATGGAATATCGTACGATGCCGTTTGGACCTTCGTCGTTGTCGGTTGCAGTCACCGAGATGGGAGCAGAGCCAAGAGGTTCGTTTTCAGCCACAACCACTTGATAGCTCAGAGCTGTGAAGACTGGGCTGAATCTGTTGTCACCAGTCACAACAATAGTGACCAAGACCTCATCTTGCATCGGCGGGATTCCTTTGTCGACTGCTCGCACCAGGAGAACGTACTTTGAGTTTCGTCTCCCCAGGAGAGGTTGATTGACCAAAATCCAACCAGTGACAGGGTCCACATTAAAGAAATCGGATTCGTTCCCGCCTACCTTCATGTACTCGATCTGGGCATTCAGGCCGAAATCATGGGTGTCTTCAGCCTGGAGTTGAATGATTCGTTGTCCCACACTTGCAACCTCAGGAATGGGGGTGAAATATCGATCCTTGACAAACTTAGGAGCATTGTTGTTAGCATCAACAACATTGATCGTGACTGTGCATTCGCTCGACATGGGTGGCTTCCCTTGATCCATGGCAACAATCGTCAACCGATATTCATTTTCTGGCGATGGTCCCTTTGGCGAGAACTTGTACCTGAGTGCATGCTTAGAAAGAATCTCGCCACTGGCAGGGTCAACAGTAAAATCATCAGAAGGATGTTTCAACGAATACGTGATGGCCGAATTAGGACCCTGCTTGTCTCTGTCAGAGGCGGTGACCTTCCCAACAAATGCCACCGAGCGTTGAAGTTCTGGGAAGCTGAACTCATAATGAGATTTTTCGCACTTGGGTTCATTGTCATTCTCGTCTAAGACCGTGATGGTCAAGGGGGTTTCGGCTCTCCACGACCCATCCACGGCAGACACTTTGAGCAGATATTCATCGCTGACCTCTCGATCGATGATGCCAACCACAGTGACGTTGCCCGAAACGGGATCGATGTGGAACTTCCCGCCGGGATTCTCGGTGAAGCTGTAAGACGCATTCGCGTTGGAACCGATGTCCCTGTCGGAGCTGGTGACCTGGATGACGAACGTCCCGATGGCCGCATTCTCGGTCACATTCACGCTGAACAACCTCGTGAACCTCGGCGGGTTGTCGTTCTTGTCCAAGACGGTCACGATGACCAAAGACGTCCCGGTCTTGGGCGGATCCCCGTGGTCGACGGCTTCGATCTGCAGCGAATACGACCCCAGGGTCTCTCGATCCAGCTTCGCGTTCGTGAAGATCTCCCCCGTGTTCGGATTCATCGTGAATGCCCCACCGACGTTTCCTTCGTCCCTCAGTCGGTACGAGATCCGGCTGTTGTCGCCCTGATCGGCATCGCTGGCCCGGACCTTGAACACCAGCTGGGGTGGGAATTGGTCCTCGAGGATGCTGGCATTGTATGCGTACATCTCGAAAGTGGGTGCATTGTCGTTCACATCCGTGACGTTCACCGACATGAACACCGTCGTGCCCAGAGCAGGATTGTCGTTGTCTTGAGCCCGGATCCAGAGTTCGTATCGAGCCGTCCTCTCGAAGTCGAGGCCTTCGGGAATCCTCAGCTCTCCCGCCTGGAGATTCAAGTCAAAGACTTGTCCCAGGTTTCCTCCCACAATCTGATAGGTGATCTCGTGTTGGCCTTGCTTGGGCGAATGGGCCACAAGAGTCGTGACGGATTTCCCCTGGACGTCCTCCGGGAACGTGAACTCGGATCGGTAGGGTTTGAAAACGGGGAAGTCCTCACGTGGGTGGAGATGGACCTCTAACTTCATGGATCCAGACATGGGTTGCTTCCCTTTGTCGGTGGCCGTGATGTCCAGGAAATACGTGGTTCCGCCGGAAAGCTTCTTGGATGCTTTCAAGATCCCGGTATCCTGGCTGACGTGGAACTTGTCTGCGTCTTGACCCGAGAGGTAGTACACGATCCTGCTGTTGTTGCCTTCGTCTGGGTCCCAAGCCAGGGCACCGTACACGAACTGACCTGTCGACACGATCAAACCCGGTCACCCACCCGCTCCCTTAATTCATGCACGGTCGACCCGGGTCGACCCAAGTCGACCTCGCTCGAATTCTCACCAGGTTCGGTCGGATCCGGGATGTAGATGACCTCGCTCTCCCGGGGGAAAGTGGGCGGGTTGTCGTTCACGTCCTGGATGTAGATCGTGAGATTGGTGCGCGTGTAGTGCGAATCGGTGGGGGAGGAATCCCGAGCCTCCAACTCCAGCAAGAATTCGCTTCTGAGCTCTCGATCAAATTCTTGCTTGGACTTGATGGTCCCATCTTCTTCGTTCACGTGGAACAACTCCGACCCCTCTCCGTACAACCGATACCTGCACGACAGAATTTGAAATAAATTATGTTGTGTCTGGAAGGTTAATAGCACTTCAAATGCTACCTTGCTTCAAAATTTGCTTTTAACGTAATTTACTTTGTTTACAATTATTAGCAACTTCAAACGGAGCATTTCAACTTATTTTCACATTTCAACGCCCAGAATCACCATTTCCACTCCATGTTTGCATTTTTTTTCCCGGAACGTCTCCGTTCCAAGTCCTCAATTAAATTTTCACATTTACATATTCAACATTTCCTCTTTCCACTTCACACCCGTCTCACTTAGCATGCCACCCGACCAAATCCGTACCGGATGCGCGCATTGAGCCCCTCGTCCCGATCCGTCGCCGTGACCTGCATCACAGGTGTGTCGACGGGTGCGTTCTCGGGGATCCAGGCCAGGTAGAAGTCCTTGAGGAACTCGGGACTGTGGTCGTTCACGTCCTGCACTTCGACCCTCAGCGTTCCCGTCCCCGTCAACCTCGGCGTCCCTGCAAAAAAAAAAACAACGAATTTTCTCATCCGCCGTCACGCGTTCCCCCCTTTTGCACGGGCGATTTAAAGAGGGGAAAAGCAGAAGAAAAAAAAGAAACGGAGGAGGAGAAGATGAAGTCTGGTGATGAAATTCTAGCCCCGAGCCGTCATGAGGGAAGCGAGTGGACTATATAGTCGCCGCTCCGCATTCTTCCCTTCCCCAATGAATATGGATCGCGTTATAACTTACAGAGGAGGATGAAAAAAAAAAGAGGTGCGGTACATGGGATTAGATGAAACCCAACCTGGGAAGGATGGAACATCATCACCAGACACATGCTGAGCGCGTGGGCCGAGCTCGAATGAGGTTTTTTCCCCTCATCTTTTTTCGTTACTACATCCTCCAGGCAAGATTTTTTTTTTTACTCACTCTGGGCAGTGCTTCTTGTATGATATGCAAGAGGCAGAGGTAGCCGGGTAAGGTGTAAGGCCTAGATCTGCTGACAGGGGCGGTGAAGGATCGCCGACCGTTTTTTTACCGTTTCCAGGCTAAGTCCCCGCAATGGGCGCTGCATGCAGACGCAGCGTCTCGTCCATATTTTAGGAGAAAAATTATTCACCTCATGAAAGACTCGATTTCGCAACCGCTGACTCACTTTAAAAAAAATTAAAATATAAAAAACACCGAATACCATCAGAATTCGCATGGATATCATCATCATCTTCACGATGAAGAGCTTACGGGAAAGGTGATCTGGAGAGGAGCCGAGTGTCGCAATCACAATGGACCGCGCTCCTTTTCACAGGCAAATGAGCCATCGATTAATCTCTCGCGATTGGGGGGGGGGGGGGGAAGCCCCGTACCCAGCGCGACGGTGTGGCGCGATCGCACAAAAGGATGAAATATCTCCATCCTCCTGTCGGCTCTCCGTGGAGTCTGGTGAGTTAGGGGAAGAGAAAGGGGACGGGCAGGGGGGGGGGGGGGGGCCGGGGGATCTCCC